TGCGAGACAACACAAAGCAGGGGGGGTTCTCTCCGTCTCATACTTTGCTGCATATGTCCAGCTGGGTTTGATTTTACACAGTAGTTTCAAATCAGATAACAGCAATGCTCTGCTCCTTCAAAAGAACAATCAGTTGAGAATTTTACCAGATGCACCACTTGCAGTAAAATCCCCAAACTCTGTTGTCTTTCTGTGGCCATCAATCTCCTTCAGAATTTCCAAATTTCATCTTGTTTGACTCAGTAGATAAAGGACTGTGCAGGCCTTCAGGTGGGACTTGACGTCCATGTTCTGTTCTGACATAGAACCATTTGATTGTAGTTTCTGAATACCTGGTTAATTCCAGAAATAAGGGGTCCAAAAGTGTGACATTTTTGTGTTCCTGTTACATCCGACCTTTGTAATTTGACATGGAAATATCACCGGAAGAGATTTCAAACTAATATTTGTTTGGCAGGTGATTTGCATTAATTCATCACTCTTGGAAATAGGAAAATGTGTTCTGAACTTGAAAAATCATATGTGACAGGGACATTAAAAAATGGACCCCTAATTTCTGGAAATACCCAACTTCAAATTCAGACAGGCTCCCAGATATAATGTTGATGGGGTAAGGCCTTAGAGATAGTCATCTGTTGCCAATTCTTTCATTGATGCAGTTAAACACGTGCACATACGGGAAGCTTTCTTTTCCTTTGCTTAGCACTTAATCTGACCATTGAAGTTCATTTGCAATTGAGTACCGAAGTGTGACGTCACTGTGAACCAGAAAGTGCAGTGCAAACGAATGGAGTATGTGCGCGTGTTGATTCACGCGCTGGTTCTCGCACTAATGCCTTTTACACGTTAATGGTGCGCGTGACGTATTCACTTCGGTACTCTATACATTTTCAGCTTCGCCTGTCTACATGTGATGCGTGTTTTGTGACCGATTTAGCTGGTAGTCATATTTGCAGCACATTGGCAGCTTCTCTCATGGTTCGCTTGCCTACTCCCATTCTGTGTTATAATTGTTATCCCTCCCCAAGCACTCCGTCTGTGTTGTTTGTCTTGTTTGTCATTCTCCAGTGTTGTAGTCGAGGCTGTTTCAGGTCCATGCAAGTCCGTCTTAAGTTATCCAATCTCAAGTTATCCAATCTCAAGTTATCCAATCTCAAATTACCAATCTCAAGTTATCCAATCTCAAGTTATCCAATCTCAAATATCCAATCTCAAGTTATCCAATCTCAAATTACCAATCTCAAGTTATCCAATCTCAAGTTATCCAATCTCAAGTTATCCAATCTCAAGTTATCCAATCTCAAATTACCAATCTCAAGTTATCCCATCTCAAGTCATCCAATCTCAAGTTATCCAATCTCAAGTCACAACCCATGAAGATGACAAAGGCATTCCTTTGTTATTGTTCATCGTGCTATGTGACTGGCCTTTTGACTAAGGGAGCAATTCAAAAGTCGGGAAAACCCCAGAAGAGTATTTGGGTAAAACCGAAGGAATCAGATATGGACTGAAAACCAAGCCCACACGTCAGCCTGGGAGGGATTGAGCCTGAGCCGCACAGGGGTAAGGCAAGGAAAATACGGTGACGTCAACGTGACCTCTTTGAATGACTTGTGATGGACTCTGATTGACACTCTAATGTCTTTTGACGGTTGTACTCAGATGCATATTTGGTGCCTCAAGCTGTACTGAGTTTTCCAGATTGATTTCCATATGCTCTTACAATACACGGGGGGGGGCATTAAACAAAGTGTTAGCGTGGTGCACCTGTTTGACTTTTCTCTGAGGTGCACTTCCACCCATGCTTGACAGAGCACTGGACTACAATGCCGCTTGTTGTATGCCTCTCTCCTCTTTTGTCATTAGCGTTCTCCGTGTGAATGCATTGTCTGCTAAAAAGCCACCTTACCCTCGTCCCCTCTTATCTTTATTGCTTCAGACCCAGGTAGGTTCACCAGCCTTTCCCCCTGCCTTGTGCTGCATGCGCCACTAACTTCCTCTCAGATAAAGCCTGTGGCCTTCCTACATTGTCATCTGTGTTGAAATAGTCCAAATTTACAGGAAGTACTTCACCGATGTTTTCTTTCTTTCCTTTGTGTGTGTTCTCATTTCACTGGTAACAGGGGATCATTATGAATTGTTTGATTTGTCCTACCACCAACAGCTTTTCATGCATGTTCAACGACAGAGACACAAAATGTACAACAGAGATCCAGAATGTTCCAGCGTTTTGGTTAACCCTGAAAAATGCTTGAATCTTAAACAGTCCCAGAATGGACATTTTGACTTGTGCATGCTGAAACGAAGACAGTTTTTGTAGCTGAAAACTCTGCCAAGTGGTGGCAAAAGCATACCATGATAATGTTGTCTTTGATGGACAACACTGCTATTTAACAGCACGTTTTTGGAGGCAATCGGATTCCCACGGTAAAATTATTGCCTATAAAAGATTATTGTCCTCTGACAGTTATAATACAGCATATTCTATTGTTTATTAATTTTGCTTTCTCTGCAGTGCACCTCAATTGTAGACCCTTTTTCTTTTTGGATATACCTATGGTAGTTAAGCTATTCTCATTGGCTGTGTCTTGTGGACAGGGCCTTGAACAGTTGATAAAGTAACAGCCAGCTGAGCTGAAAGTTTTGGGCTTGAAAAATATAACCAGTGGAAGAAATATTCCTCTGCATTGAATTCATCAATAGACCAACTGAAAGGCCAGAAATGTTTGAATATCATCAGCTTACATTTGAACAAAATACGGAATTAGTTCCATGTTTGCAGAATTGTCAAGTCCATCCGGACATTGCTGCAAATCCATCATGAGTCCAGCACAAGTCATGCAGTCTTCGGCCAAGTCACAAGCTATTCAAATGAACAGTGACATCGTTTACCCTATTACATGTTAATGATCTTGTGAAAAGACTTTTGAAGGGCTGATCTACAACACTGCATGCTCATACATTTTAGTAAATCTGAAGGTTTGCCTGCCACTTTCTGTGAGTGCAAACTGATCCTTTCAAGTCACCTTCAAGGTTTTATTCCCCCATGCCAGAACATCTGAGCCTGCCTTGGATATCATTTCATTGCACTCACAACAGGCTCACATTGCTGTATTAAATAACTAGAACACTTTCTGTACAAAGTGAGGCCTGCTAGGGGCATCCCTGGTTGTGCACAAACCTATGGAAAATGTGAAATGTAGTTTTACTTAAGAACGGCCTTTTGCGTATCTGCATATGTAATCTACATCAGCGCGTTGTAGTCCGAAAACCAAAACAGAAACACATAGTCAGTCAGTGAGTGAATTGTTTTGCTCTTTGCAAACAACGTTAATACATGTGCATGAGCTGTGAATGAAGATACACGCAGCTTCTGTATATTTAATTTGCACTGCATGTGAAATTTGCCGCAGGTTTTCCTTGTGTGTATCATACACATAGAAAGCTTGCATGAACACTGTTCACTGACCGCTGTCATTGTTCTTGGGCACACGCACATGATTTCAAAATGACAACATCCATGATGCCGTCAATGTTTTTTTGCACAGGAAACAAAAAGTTAGTGCTCTAGTGATTTAATATAGCTCTGTGAATACATGTTTTTTTTTCGCATGTGATTAAAGATGAGTGACAATTGTGAAAACTTCTGGTTTGTGTTTCTTCTCTTCATCAGGGCGATCAAGGCAAGAGCTGTTACATCATGTAAACCCACTGACTATGATGCCAGCACGGCACCACCGACAACCGCATCCTTCGACAGTTCTAGTTATTCAGCTTCAAAGCAAAAATGGTCCTTGAAGTGGAATTGAACTTCCAACCGTCCTTGCTGTCCCAAGCATGCATTGAAAATGTTCATGCAGTTATTGCCTTCTGAATCCTCTGCATGAAATTGTTCATTTCTGTTTTGTTCTGTTTTAGGGAACATTTCATAATTACAGAAGGCGGTATTTACTGCAGTACCGCTGTATTTTTGCGGTACCAGCATTAAGCCCTTTTGGGTAACTAGTGCAGTGCCGCTAAAAAAACAGTGGTACCGCAGTAAATACCGCCTTCAACAAGTATGAAATGCTCCCTTACTTTGACTCGTGCGTATTTGCATTACTTGAGGGGATAAAAATGTGGTGACCTGATCTTAACCCTTTCAGAAGCAACCCCAAATATAGGGTTGTGGAGGCTATTTATGGAAGGCCAGTGCCTGATCAGGGGTCCCTTTTGGCCTTGTAAAGATAGGATCGTGACATGTTTCCGTTAATACCATACCGAAATGGTTGTAAAAAGTGTTCAATAAAAATTTGCAGCCTCTGTTTTTTCCCGTGTGTGTCATTGAGAGACACTGACATTCAGTGCCATAGTCTCTTGTGTGTCCATATCCACTCACTGAAATACATGTAGTCTGTGGGGTGTCTATTTGCACTCTGTGGAATAGTCTGTGGGGTGTCTGTTTGCACCCTGTGGAATAGTCTGTGGGGTGTCTGTTAGCACCCTGTGGAATAGTCTGTGGGGTGTCTGTTTGCACCCTGTGGAATAGTCTGTGGGGTGCCTGTTTGCGCCCTGTGGTATACTCTGTGGGGTGTCTTTTTGCACTCTGTGGAATAGTCTGTCGGGTGTCTATGAGCACTCTTTGGAATAGTCTGTGGGGTGTCAATAAGCACTCTTTGGAATATTCGGTAGGGTGCCTATATGCACTCTGTGGAATAGTCGGTTGGGTGTCTATATGCACTGTTTGGGTGTATATGTACAAGTACTGTTGTGTACAAAGTGCCCAGCCTCGTTACTTTTTGCCTCCTGGCTACTTTATGCTTAATATTCCTACTTTTTGCCTTTTGTTGACAACGACCAATTTATTTGAATGTGTTGCTATTGAGCAGTCCGGCCAAGTTGTTTTTAAAGGATTAGTGCACTCATAGTCACCTAGAGTGGCTTTTAAAGACTTTCAAACAACCCAGCTGTGCTTGTGTTTGTAATGAAGGCAGTGGCCGTTTTTATCAGTTGGAAAGTGGGGCAGAAAACCTTTAGGACAAAAAAAATAGATCCAAAGGTAGAGCTTATGCTCAGATAACAATGTTTTGTCTTTTGTATATATATTAACCTGCTCACTGTACAGGCGTGTAGTTAACATAGTGTTTTCACTGTTGTGTTCAGTCATTAAAAAAGTAATTAGGTGTTTTTGGTAGAAATTAAATAGAATTTTAAAAGCGTCAAAGTTTTTTTTGGGAGGGGGGGTTTATTTGCCTTTTCCCCAGAAACTTTGGAAAGGTTTTTTTTTAAGAAATGTAGAAATCATTGTACAAAAACTTGGGGTCTCCTCACTTTCAGAAAACTTGGGGGAGGGGTGGGAATGAATGGGATGAACTCTGCAGAAAACATTGTTTTATTCACAAAAAAAGTTTAGTTTTAAAGTGGGAGGTAAAATATTTTCTCTTGCCGACCCTTTCATTACGTTGGCATGCAGTTCAGATTTTGTTTCAATACGCATAAGTGTCCGAGGGGGTAGTATTTATGTCATGTTCATTAGTTCAGTCCCAGTCGTTTCAGTTCTATGAAACCATTTCAAGCTTACCTGTATTCCAAAGACAAGTTCAGGGTAAGTCCTCAGAGCTATTTTTTTTAAAAACAGCTGACTGATGAAATACGATGCAATTGAATTACTCGGCAGTTGCTTTTTTTAACATCACTGGTAACCGTCAGCAAATCGTTTAAAACTCCCCTTGTAACAGGTGAACGGATGTCGCATAGGGTTACCGTTAAAAAAAGAAAAAGAAATTCAGTTCAGCATGTTCGGAATTGCTAGTCTTGATTCTAATTGTTGGAAATTGTTGCTTCATCTTTTGTTTCTAGAACTAAGACTTCCAAAATGGTTCACCGAATCATTGTTTTTCCTGGTGAGAAAAAGTTGTAATAGATTGCCATAAAAGTTTTTATGAAGTTATAATTTTTGTGCTAACTTACAAGTTTTTGGTGATTGCCATGAAGCTTGGACAAGTTTTATCGCACCATTTTTTTTAACTACTTAGTTCACGTCTTTAAATGTAATCAGATTTGTGGTGAAAATAGAGCTGGTAACTTGTAGGCTGGGATTTTTCTGTTGATGCTTCCTGTATGAAATAAGTAGAATCCGTATGTGCTTCACTTTTCTTTGTAGCTGTCTCTTTTGATAGGTTGTGAGAGCAAGTATCCTATGTTATATTTTTAATAATTACACTCCTCAGCTTTTTGCGTGTGCTGGTGTTGTCTCCACCTGTTTATAGAATGGATTGTAAACGATGTCGCTCGTCATATGTACTTCGGTGTATAATTGTGTTTTGTAGTCCAGGTCTATTTTTCATTCCAAATTCGACCATGAGAAGCTGATTAAGATATCGAAACCTTGAAATAACCTAGCTAAGTGTTGAAGAGGGATCCGCAGGAGAACCGTTTATGACGTCTGAATATTTCATGAACTGTTTGGAGGCAGTGATGTGGGTCAAAATAGGCGCGGAAAACCAGACAGAGGTCCTTCTGGAAATTGGAGATTGCGTTGACAGTGACGGCAGGAATTGGAACTATTGACCTTCCATTGCATCTAAATGGAGGTGGTACTTCTAACATCTGCCGATATTTCCGTTGAAATTACCAAAGTCTTATAACTTGTTCAGAGTTTGCACAAACATTTCCTGACATGGGCATGGATAAATTATATGAATGAATTTCTTACTAAAGCGTATTGAGTTTAAATTGATAGAGGATTGAATCAGAAGTGCTTGGACTACATGCTAGCCGACTGCCAAAAAGTCCTCGTTTGAACTATGTCGGAGCAAAGGGGTTATTTCTGATACATACTTTTTATCCTTTTAGTATTAGGTCAACTTTTGTGGAGAAAAAAGGTATTGATCAGATGTAGAGCAAAATACACGTTCATGTTATGTTTGTCAGATTAATAGTTGAGAGCCATAGTGGAAGTCAAACTTCATGGCTGAATGCATAAAAATGCGGTTATTTTACACAGCGCAATTTTTTGTGTCACGCATATACATTAAATACCTTTTTCTAATCTGTCTAATTTCATTGTAGCGGATACACATGCAAAAATACTTGCTGATGTACTTCCTGTAAGTTAATAGGATCTTTTGGTTTTATCTGTAGTGTAGAGAAAGTTTATGTTTGACCATCATAAATATTTACCGTCTTTCCCCCAAAATCTTTGAATGATAATCGGTAAGGTCATCCCAGTCGTGAAATGGATTGGAAAACTACTACTACTGACTAAAATACACTTTCCAAAAAAAATCAATGTAACAAATCAACAAGAACTGGTGACACAATGAAAACAGTTATTTTGTAGGTACCAAGACTGAACTAGATACATGAAGGTCATTGTAAAATTGTAATGAAAAATTGTAAACAATATTATAAAGCAACCGATTCCATACCCCTTAATTTGGCTTAGTTTGATGATCCAAGAAATCGCCAGTTTTATGCTTTCTCAATTTCTGCCATAGATTATACATTTTTCTCCTCTGCCTCGAATGTTAATAAAACATTAGGATGTGCTTGCAAAACCAGGCTTGCATAATGTGTAAATCATTCCAAGCACACAATGGATAGCCTTACATTTTAAAATCTTTTCACAACCGTCAGTTTTTGAGATTTTCTTTCTAAGACGTCATCTCCACCTAACACAGCTGCAGGAGAAATTATAAAAGATGACCCACAGAAACATGTAGAAGGAAATGGAGTTTATTCCTATTACCTCTTCGGGTTTTCCTGCAACCGAAGTGCCCTGGGTACTGTTGAAAAATACCCGGTTCGATCGCCCAAAGTACTGTACATGTACATGCGCACTGCCAGCGAAGTTCTCGAAGTCGACCTGCGGAGTCCTCTGGCTCTCTTCACTCGGCCAGATGTCGGAGGGTTAGAGTCAGGTAATTTTTAGTTTCTATAAATTGATATGCTAGCGAATACTTTCCAAAGCCCTTTTACCGAGTTTGATTTTTAAAGAAGTAACTGACTGAAATTCCGAAAAAAATATTACAAATTCTAAAATTTGTGCACGTTATTTTTCCTATCCAAGGGACCCGGAGGTACGCCAGCGCCACTGGGGGTCAGCTTTCAGGCTTCATACAATAGGTTGTCGTGACTAGTCTTCGTGATCGTGTTGCCTTCGCAGTAATTGTTTTTTCCCCCTCAGATCAAACTGCTAGCATAATTATATGTAACGGGTTTGCCCTTACCCAACGTATATTAATAAGCACTGTATG